GGGAGCCAACAAACTCAGCGACAAGAGATCTAAAAATTGATGGCGAGGAGGGGGTGTAATTCCTGGTGGGGTTATTTTTATATGTTAAGTATTGAGATAGCAGATGGACTTTGGGTCTCTATTCAAGGCCTCCCTAAATACAGGAACACTTTGTTCTAATAACCTGGCACTCTTTGATACTCACCTCTTGACATGATCACTGAAGACAAAATGGGTGCATAAGCAAATGTGGTGAAGAAAGTGGATGGTGCCCAGTTATCAAAAGATGTAGCATCTGGGACTTAAACAAGCAACCATCTAGCCGGGAAGTAACAAAGCCCACATGGAAGAAGCACACCAACCTGTGTGATCATGAGGTGTTGCCGGGATCAGCTATCAGGTATCAAAAGATCCCAAACAAACAATTATATTGATATGAAAGACAGGGGCTGGAGTGAAGGCCCTAAAGCTCATCTGTAGACACTTGGACATCCCCCCACCTAATGGTTACAAGGAAGGGACGATTCAACCAGGTTGCAGAATAGCACTGATGAAACATACATTATTCATCTAGCTCCTGAATGCTTCCTACCCGCCCCCACCCCTCACTACTATAACCTAGTTCTACCTTACAAATCTGGCTAGATTAGAATATAAACATTGGTGTTGATAAGAGCTTTCGATACATGGAATTTAGGATAGCTAAAACCCTTAAGAATAGTAGTGGGAGTAGTGATATCATGAGGGTAGGGGAATGGTGGGGGCTAGGGGGCAGGGAGAAAGGGGGAACCCATCACAAGGTTGGATATCCAGCGCCCCCCACCCCCAGGAGGATGAATAACAAATGTGGATGAAGGGAGACAACAAACATTGTAAGACATGAAATAACAATAATATATAATTGATCAAGGATTCACAAGAGTGGGAGTGTCAGGGAGGGAAAGGGAAATCGAGGAACTGATACCAAGGAATCAAGTAAAAGAAAATGTTTTGGAAAATGTTGAAGGCAACATATGTACAAGTGTGCTTAATACAATTGAATGATGGATTGTTAAAAGATTTGTTGGAGTCCCCCAATAAAATAATTAAGAATGAAAAATTTTGCCATCTCCCAAAGAAATCCAGTAACCATTAATAGTTCTTCCCCTATATGTCCCCAGTCTTAGGCAACCACAATCTACTTTATATTTCTATAAATTTATTTGATTCAGACATCTCATAAAAACAAAGTCAAATGTACAGTATATGGCCTTTTTTGTTTGTTTTTAAACATTTTATTAGGGGCTCATACAACTCTTATCACAATCCATACACACATCAATTGTGTAAAGCGCATTTGTACTTCATTCTCAAAACATTTTCTCTCCACTTAAACCCCCGACATTAGGTCCTCATTTTTCAGTATATGGCCTTTTGTGATTGTGATTGTCCTCTTTAATTTAGAATAATGTTTTCAAATTTTATCCATGTTATAGCCCATGCCAGTAATGTACTTCATTTCTTTTAATTGCTGAATAATATTCCATTGAAATTGGGTAGTGTGAGCCCTCTTATTCTCTTTGAAGACTGGTTTGGATATTCCATCCCTTTTTTATTTTTATATAAAATTTACTTATGATCAGCGTGTCAATTTCTGCAGAAAAACCAACTGAAGTGTTAATTTGGACATGTTCAATTTGTCTTCATAGTTTATTTATCCTTCGATTTCCTGATAGACCTTTAAGTTGTTTCTGCTTTCTGGCTGTTGTCAACAAATGTTTCTATGAATATTCACATAGACATGTTTGCATGGACATATGTTTTCATTCTTTGGTGTGTGTGTAGAATTGTTGGGTAGTACACTAATTCTGTTTAACTTTTTGAGGAATCACCCACCGGCTTTCCACATTGGCGGCACCATTTCAGATTTCTATCTGTTCTGTATGAGATTTCTGATTTCTTCACAGTTTTGTCCCACTCGTTATATATGTCTTTTTGATTATAGGGAAATCTAGTGATATCTCATTATGGTTTTGATTTGTAGTTATCTAATGGCTAGTGATGTTGAGCATCTCCTCATGCTTATTGGACATTTCTTTGGGGGAAGTGGTCTGTGGAGATCCTTTGTCTGGATTTAGTTGGTTTGTCTATTGTTTTTTTGTAAGAATTTTTTATATATTTCAGATAGAAGTTTCTGAGCAGATATGACTTACAAATATGAAAGGGCTTTAAAAATTCATGGACAACTGGAATAAAAAGATAATGGATCTTTTTTCCATGAACTTTTTGAAGCTTGTGTTTTCTCTTATTCCATGGTGCTGCTGTCACACTTTTTTGCCCTTTTTATATAGTGTATATTTTATTAAATTTTATACTAATTTACCCTCACATTAAATAGGTAATTTAGTGGAAAAAGCTTCCGTTTGAATCATCTATTAACACAGTGCTAGACATTTAAAAATACCCATTTATGATAGCAAAAAGACAACAAAATTATTTTCCTTTTGTACAGGTGGACATTGAAGTAGACCTAATTCTGTTTTATTTTTAAAAATCTCCAAAATTAGAAAAGCAGACTCAGTGCGAATAAAATGAATGTCAAAGGTGGTTTATTAAGCTACTGGTTTCCCATACCATTGTCTGTTTTCTGTTGTTTGGATGCAGGCTCTTCTTCGTCTGCTTCTTCTCTTGTGCTTGCCACTGGTTCAGCCGCACCGCCGATTTCATCACCATCATCCTCACTATCAAATTGTGTTTTCTTGTCCTGAACCTATCCTTTTTCTTTAGCTGATCCAGCCTGGGCAACTCTATTTCCCTTTCTTTTTCCTTTACATTCGCGACCTTTCAACTTCCATTTCTCCAAGGATGATTTTTGGTTTTCCATGATATTTTTTCAGTGCTGATTTTTCTACTTCTTTTTCTAGTGCTTCCCACATCTCTTCTCTGTTTGTTTTTTTAACTTCTCTATTTTTAAATTGTAGGTCATTGGTATTTGCACATTTGGTTTTATCCAGCACTTCTTTCCATTTTTCTTTAAATCAGCGGTTCTCAACCTGTGGGTCACCACCCCTTTGGGGGTTGAATGACCCTTTCATAGGGGTTGCCTAATACATCCTGCATATCAGATATTTAAATTATGATTTCATTAAAGTAGCAAAATTGCAGTTATGAAGTAACAACAAAAATGATTTTATGGTTGGGGGTCACCACAACACAAGGAACTGTATTCAAGGGTTGCAGCATTAGGATGGTTGAGAATCACTGCTTTAAATAGAATTACTCCCCTTTTCACTCCTCTGACAAAGTCTTATCTCCATGACTTGCAAAAAGGATATGGAAATCTTCTTTACAGGGCTGATCAGCTTGTTGTCCAAAAACTTCAGCAAGGCCTCTTCTGCTAACTTCTGTTTCTCTTCTTGCTCTTGTTTAACTCATAATTTAGTTCCATTTTATTTTGTTTTCTTTCTTCATTCTTTTTGTAATCATTCTTGAAAATTATTAGCAGGTCTGTGTCTTTATACTTTGGCCAAGGGTCTCTATGAATTTCTTAGCACATTCACTTCTCTCAAGCACAACAAATATTGATCCCTTAAATGTTCTGTGCAATGTTCTTCTCATCTGAGTAGTTCGTTTTTCACCTTTGCCTTCTAACCATTCTATTATGTCATTGAGGTTGCATCAGTTGGGAACGCTTTAATATAAACAGATCTGTTTTTTTCATCATTGTTTTTGGACTCATCAGTCACTTCAGAGATATTCTGATTTTAGTTTTATCTTCACTTATTTCCATGAGCTCTACTTTTGATTTTCTTAGTGCTTCTATTATATTAAAGTCTGTTGTTACACGATTTAACCTGTTGAATTTTATCATTATTTCAGTGGTTCCCAACCTTCATCTAGTTTGATTTATTTCTTTAAAAATTTGTCCCGAGGCACATTGAACGCACCAAAATAATATACATTCTGATGACAGATTTTGGCTTCCAACTCAGCCATTTTTTCGCTATCACCATTTTCGGCCATTGTGGCAATCTGAAAATTTTCCTTATGATTCCAGGCCCTCAGAAGCCCTGCACTGGATCAGTAGTAACAGCAGCATCCTGACCTGTGCTGCCACTTGCCTAAGGTGCTTAAATAAGATAGGGAATAGGCTGTCACACTTTTTTATTTTATACATATTTATAGTTAAAGCTAGTAGGCCCTTGTTAAATATTTTGGGTATCAAACCCTTATTAGATATATGGTTCTTTCAAATTGTCCTCCAACTTGTGAATTGTCTCTTCATTTTGTTAATTAAAGTCCTATGATGAGCAATTTAATTAAAACAAAATTAATGTATTGTTGAGAATACACACAGCAAAACATATACCAATTCAGCCATTTCTACAGGTACTGTTCAGTGACACTGATTACATTCTTTGAATTGTACCACCACTCTAAGTTGTATAGTTGTTGTTGCTTGGGCATTTGATATTCTATCTAAGACCTCATGATTAAAAATGAGGTCCCATAGCACCACCGTTATATTTCCCTATAAGAGTTTTATGCTTTCAATTTTTACATTTAGATCTTTGACCCATTTTAAATTAGCTTTTTTGGCTGGCATATTTAACGCTGTTGATGCCATTATAAATATAATTTTCAAATAGATCAATACTAGTGTATAAAATATCCTTTTTAAAGATTTACACTGCTGCCTTGTTGAACTTATTAGTTCTAATACCTTTTAAAAATTTGATTCCCCCAAAACTTTTTTTCATTCCTTAGAAGTTTCTCTAAGATCATGCCATCTGCGAATAGAGATCATTTAGTCTTCCAGTCTGGGTTCCGTTTATTGCTTAGTTATTTGCTCCGTTCCTGGTTGGAGGTTCCCCTAGGGGTTGAAAAGAAGTGGTGAGAGTAGAAGACATTCTCAGTTCTTTCCTCATCTTAGGGGAAACATTCAGTTGTAGTGATGTTTACTTTGAAAAGAATGGGGGATAGGTTTACTTTGAAGACACGTTTCTTTTGATTTAAGACTTTTCTTCTGCTTACTTACACAGATATGTGCTGACTGGAAGGCTCACTTGTGCAGTGTGGAGAATAAAGGTAGTGCCTTACAAAAATGGGATTTGGGAGTGACCTGAAGAATTCGCATGAAGCTTTGTTAAAATTGCAAGACTGGGAATTACGGTTATTGGAAACAGTGAAGAAATTCATGGCCCTGAGAATAAAAAGTGATAAAGAATATGCAACTACTTTACAGAACCTTTGTAATCAAGTTGATAAGGAAAGTACTGTCCAAATGAATTATGTCAGCAATGTATCCAAGGTAAGAAGAATAATTTCATTGTCTGTTACGGATAACATTATAATTCTACTTAAAGCAAATCGAGTATACTAAAGGCAGATCTCAGGTTCTGAATATCCAGCTAATAAACAACTTGTACTGCCCTTTAATGTTATGAAAAAATTTAAGTTCTTCACCATAATCCCCTTCACTTGTTGCATCTGCAGGTTTTCAATCGCTGAAAGACTTCTAGCCTTTTTGTTGTTGTTAGATAAGAACTGTATGAATCTGTCCTGCTTACCTATAAATTAATGAAAGACACGCTAGGAATGATCTCATTGGTAACCCAGGACTGTCTATATTTACTGAAATATCAAAGACAGCATTTTAAGATGGTGATTCTAAAATCTTGCTGATTATCAGAATCTTGCGGCAAAACTTTTAAAAGTTTCAGATTTAGGGGCCCTACCTCTTGAAATTCTCATTTAGTCAGCTTGGGGGTGGGGACTTTGAAATATTTTTTTTCAAGTTGTTTAAGAATGAAAAATAAATCCACTGCCCTCTGGTCAATTCTGATTCGTAGTAGTCCTAAAGGCCATGGTGGGAAGTGGAACTGCTTTCCAGGATTTCCAAGGCCATCTGTCTTTATGAATGCAGCAGACTGCCTCATCTTTTTGCCTCGGAACAGCTGGTGGGTTTGAACCATCAACCTTTCCGTTAGCAGCTCAAAGCTTAACTCATTGTATCACAGGGCTCCTTTCACATGCTTTTGTAATGATTATTCATTGTTATAAATCTTGTTTTCTTTTATTACCTTACCTGCTTTTGGTCTCATGAAGTTTTTCCTTATAATCTACTGTGTTAGGTGGGATTGTCTAAAGCAGCGGTTCACAAATTGTGGGTTGTGACCCCTTTGGGCATTGAACGACCCTTTCACAGAGGTCGCCCGATTCATAACAGTAGCAACATTACAGTTATGAAGTAGCAACGAAAATAATTTTATGGTTGGAGGTCACCACAACTTGAGGAACTGTATTAAAGGGTCATGGCATTAGGAAGGTTGAGACCCACTGGTCTAGAGAAACAAATTGAGTGACACTCATATTTATGTAAGTATAAGGAATAGCTTTATATTAAGATGAAATTTTATATCAAGAAGGTGTCCCAGCCCAGTCCACCTCACATCCATTAGTCCAATGCAAACCAGGTTCCACTTCTGACTCATGTAGCTGCTGGCTAATGATGTAGAAAGTAAACAGAAACAGAAAGATCTCAAGCCAGTGGGGGCAGAGGTACATGGATGCAGAGTCAGTGGGAACATGGCAGGGCCACATGGGGCCACCCTGGAGGCAAGCAGAATCCCAGAAAGCAGGAAAGTTAGAGGAGAAGAGAGAGGGAAAGAGAGATCCAAAGTTCCAAATGTCTATCATTCTTACACAAAAAGGCCTATGACACCAAGCAGGTGTCATTAATCTGTGACATAATTGGTAGAACCGTGTCTAGTTGCCATAATCCCTAACCAGCACACTCACCTCTCAGCATCTTGTAGGAATCCTTAGTCTAGAGAATCCAATGGACTATTGTAACAAGCAAGGTTTCTTTGTTACTGTATTAGTCTGGGTACTTTGGAGAAACAAATCCACAGCAACTCATGTATGAGAGAGTTTTATGCAAAGAAAATGTGCATCACGAAAACATCCCAGCCCAATGCTGCCCAAGCCCACAAGTCCAACATTAACCCATACCCAACACCAGTCCACAAAGTCCTTCACCTCACAAAATAGAGGCAATGATGCCGACTGCAGGAGGAAAGCTGAGTCAGTGAACGTGTAAGCATCTCAGCACTAGCAGGGGTCTCCACACGGCTGCTCCAGCACCCAGGGCTGCATCGGGATAGGTCCATGCGGATTCTCCTTGGGGATGTCTTGTAGGAAATCCATCTTGCAAGCTGAAGCAGGGAACTGCTAAGGCAGCTGCACCCGATGCAATCATCACAAAACAAGAGACCCGAGAACTAGAAAGGCGAGGCTTCACCACCCATTTATCCCTCCGCCTTTCAACCAGCACCACATGTGATTATCAGCCAGGCTGGCACAATTAACTAACTCAGTTACCATTTTATTTATTATTAAAAACTAGTTTACTTGTGAATTAATCACATTAAAAATTCATTTGGTAAGCAATATGATTTCTTAACTGATAGATTATTCTGTTATATAAAAAGGAGGACCTGTGCTATCAAATTGTTCTTTGAGGCAGTAGGGATGAACTATTAGACACTTTAACAATTCTTAAATGTCTGCTTCATTTATTTCCATTTCCTTTTTAAATATCATGTTTCACCATATTTATTCAAATTCAAGAAAATCTTACCTGTTTTCCCTTTGGAAAGTTAAAAAATTACTACAGGTACCTCCACTTCTCAGAAGTTCACTTCATACCACTTGTTTCTTTTAAAAGTCCTACATTGGTAGCTCTTTTTAGCTAATAGAAAGAAATCAGAAGAAGATTTTAGTTTTTGTACAGTAAATCAAAAAGTGAAACCAGCCTAGAGCCTTTGTTTCCCGGAAGCTCGTAGAGACACCATGCACCTGGAGCAGCGAGTGTGGTATCACTGCGCTGCCTTGCCTCAGAGCTACACTCAGCATTCAGCATCACGCCTTCTGGGCTGTGAACTGTGGCTATGAACGTGATGTGTCAGTGTTGATGGAGCTTTCTCTGGTATTTGCTATTATATGTCAGGTTATTTGGGGGTTTTTGAATGCTCACAGTGTTTTTTCCATATAAATTAGTAATTATTTCTTCACATTTATGACATTTTGGTTTATGAAAGGTTTTACAGGAATATACTGCATTGGAATGGTAGGGGAAAGCATGTGGTTTTTTCTCTTTTTTTCAAAGTGAGTCAGGATTTCAGGAAATTGTAGAGGAAAATGGTTTTCATGGAAAATGGGTGCCTTTGCAGTGTATTTATTTGGTCAGCAAACGGCGTGTGCTTTTTTTGAAGGCCCTTTAATGTCAGTATCTTTAACTTTCTTTTCCTGGACCAGTTAGGTTCCCCAAAGAGGAATTCTCTAGGCTCTGGTCTACAGGTAGGGGTGCTTTATTTAGCAGATAAAATGAACTTATTTCTCCTTATCAGTGACCTCGTCATCTGGCATTTTGCATTTATGACCATAGTAAAAACTACTTTCTGACTGTTTTGCTCATTAAGGAGCTGTGTCTGGCAGTAAGGAATGCTGAGGGATGAGGTGGGAGTGATGCTGGCTGTGACGCCTAAGGCTAAGTGTCAGCCTGGCTGGGTCCTCACTCTCAGTGGTTTGGCAATTAGGTAATGATGCAGTTTGGCAGTTATGTAATAAAGTGGTCATACTAAACTGATTTTTCACATAATGACCTGATCCTCTGACTCAGCCATGTTGATAAGTATATTTAACACCTAGTTAAACATGAACTTGAGATAAACATCAAATGTTCTTTTTAATATTATGTATGCCCTATGAAATATTGGTACAGATTTAAAAGTATGGCTTATCTTAAATTTAATGAGTTGCTCTGTGTTTTATATGATAACTCTTTCTGTAGGTATAACCCTGGTATTATAAGAATAGATAAAGCAGGAATCGGAAAGTAGGCTGGATTTCTTTAAAGTCCCATTTCATGTAATCTTCTTGTTTTGGGTATACTTCTTAGTACTCGAGACCAGAGGCGATCTGGTTCATTTTGCCCATTTTCAACTGCATTGGTAGACTAATATCTGCCTGACTAGGGAGGCTGAGGAAAAAGACCTAAGGTTCCACCTGCTTTTTAACAAGTTTTGAATCAATTCTCCTGAGTCAGACCTTTCTCCTCTTCTATTTATGACAGAATATTTCGAGTTGTCTGACCAATAAATTGACCTTTTCTTTTTGACCTTTCCTGTTGTAGGCACGTACGTTTCAAATATTTCCATGGGAGAGATGTTAGAAGTCTGTTCCCATAAAGATGTACAGCTTCAGAAACCCTGTGGAACCTTCTTTCTCTGTCCTGTGAGGTGGCTCTGAGTGGGAGTTGACTAACAGCAGTGGATGTGCTAAAAATGAATTTGACTTTTTATTTTCTTATTCATCTAAGCAACATACCTGTCAGTATACAGTGATATGAGTAAATCTCCTAATCCCCCAAATTGTACACAACCTGCTTGACAGGAGATGATTGGATTATCTTTTTAACATTAAGTGAATTGAAATATATACTATGAAGGAATAAGAAATAAATAAAAAGGCTCTTTGATGAAAGGCTCATTTGCTTATTATTTAATAGTCACAAAATGCATAAGTGTTTTAACTTGAACTTGTAAAAATAGGGTTTCAACTATTTGTTAAATACATATATTTTTAGGGTAGTAATTTTTAAGTTGTGCTTAGTTTAAAAGTATGAATTGGTTCCAGTTGGCGTGTTGGTAAGCAGCTTCAGCATGATGTGCACTTTGTGTGTGCTTCTGTTTGACTTTGCTTGTGAGAAGCACTAGATTGATGGTTCTCAGCCTTCCTAATGCTGCAACCTTTAATACAGTTCCTCATGTTGTGGTGACCCCCAAACCATAAAATTATTTTTGTTGTTACTTCATAACCGTAATTTTGCTACTGGTAGAAATCGGGTGACCCCTGTGAAAGAGTCGTTCAAACCCCAAAGGGGTCGCGACCCACAGGTTGAGAACTCCTGCACTAGCTGAATACTGAAGACTCTACCCAACTGAAGTGTTGATAGGAAAGCACAGAATGCACATAGAATCACACACCCATCTTCTGTGTGCCTTTTGTGTTATGAGCCAACCCATTGCAACTTTGCCCAGTTTCGGATAACACTGAAAACAAGTAACAGATCACTTCAGATAAAGAATTAAAAATTGCAACCCTTCTGACACTGAAGTACTTTGACAAGCAGTCTTCTGTTCTTTTTCAAAGTGAAGTGCCATATTGTGAGTCTCTTAACGATTTAATATGTGTAAATCTGTACTTAATTTTTATTAGGTTCTGTCCTGTCGCTTATATGTCCCTGGC